GCATCTAAGTAAAAAAAACATGAACCGTATTAAAAATAATAATAAAAAAAAAACTTTTAGCGCTTTAATTCACAAATAAGAAAACTTTTAAAAAAATGTTTCTGACATGGTTTATCGAATTTAAGTTTATTTACTTGAATCAAGATAAATAAAAACATTAAAAAAATCCCATAAATAACTAAAATTATAAAATAAAAATAGAAAACAAAATGTCAAAAAGATTAAAAAAAAAATTATCAAATTTACACACACACATATATATATATATATATATATATATATATATATATATATATATATATAATTTCGTATTTACAAAATTACAAAAATGATCCTTGAGGTTTGTTGTATATTTCAAATTTGGTACAAGTGTAAAATAGTTTTTTTTTTATTTTATAAAAGTCAAATAGCTGAAAAGTTAAATTTAACGGCAAAAGATCATTCATAAAATTTTGCAAAACACATAGACCAAGGACTTGGCGTTTTCCATGAAAATCAACAAAATGAGATATTTTTTGCAAGCCATACAGACCAATTACCAATTACGGTGTAAAATATAAAATGATACTAATATAAGAAATGAGATTGTATATTAGATTAGACATGGCTTAAATAGAACAAATGGAAAAGCACATTCCTTTTTATGAACTCATCGCTACAATTTACAATCCATTGTTTACAAGATTTTACGCTAAATAAATGCAACTACCTCCATAATACAATGTAAATGAATATTCAAGATTCTGGGCTGCCAAGAAAATGCTCAATCATCATGGCAGTTAATTAACACCACCATTAATCCATTATCAATATACTAATCATGATCCGATCTCTCGTAGCTTCTTGCAGATTTGCTTTATGTTGGGCCTGAGAGAAGGCGATGAAGAACAACACGCGATTGCAATCTCAGTCAGTTTCAGAATGTGTTCTTCATCAACTCGATTTTCAGGATTGCAAAAACCCAATATCCGATGATCCAAGATTGCGTTACAATTGAAATCTCGAACTGGGTTTGCTTTTTCATTACTTGTGGGTTCTTTACCAGTAAGTAATTCGAATAAAATCACTCCGAAATTAAATATATCGGTTTCAAGATTCGTAGCATTTGTTTTAATCGATTTGGGTTGGTTGTACCCTTCAAGAGCAGCGTCTTCGAGCATTTCTTGTGTTGCAGATGGGTTCAAGAGCAGATGTAGACCGAAATCAGACACAATTGGCTGTTGATTTCGGCCTAAAAGTATGTTTTTTGATTTTAAATTTCCATGAATAATTGGGTTTTGAAGCCCTGTATGGAGATAGTGTAATCCTCCAGCAATGCCAATTGATATCCTGTAAATCACACTCCATTTTAGAGATTCACCGTTTCCATCTGCCAAATGTACAAGAGAAGAAGCATAAGGTACTACATTGCTAGATGTTTAGGGAATCTGTTTCAAGTAAAATCAAACAAAACCCAATTGAAAAATCAAATCTTTGTTGAGGAAGTTTCAACAAGAAAACCATAAAGAGTTGTTGGTTATTAAAGCCAAGGAATCTTTAACCTTTTGGTCTAACAATGTACAACACAAGATGCGCAAGGTACAATAACGCTAGAGGCTAAGTGAATTAACTTCAAGTAAAATAAACAAAACCCATTTTAAAGATCAAAATTCTTGTACTACATTGCTACTTTGCTAGAGGTTTAGTGAAATTGTTTCAAGCAAAACTAAACAAAACCCAATTGAAAGATCAAATCTTTATTGCAAAATTTTATTTGTTTCAAGGTTCCAATTCAAATTACAACCTTCAAATTAAAAATTAATAAAATATACCTCTAATGAATTGAGCAAGATTTCCTCTCCTATAGAAGGGATGAACCAAAAGCTTTTCACCTCTAGGACCAAGATAGAACCCACAAAGAGGCACCAAATTAGGATGCCTAATTGACCCAAGAAGTTGTACCACATGCATAACATCTTGTACCTTCTCAGTGCAAGTTGGTCTCAAGAATCTTAACACCACAACTGAATCATTTCTCACCAAATTAGCTCTATAAAGAGTTCCATAACTGGATTTACCAATCACTTCACCAGGAGCATCCAATATATCAAAACAATTCAGATCTTCACCACCTTCAAATCTCAATAAATCCCCTTTCATCTCCATGTCATCAACTTCAATGTTTGATTCTTTATCCCAAGATTCATCTTTTGAACACCTTTTTCTTCTGCAGAGATAAATCAAAGCTAGAGTAATGAATAAAGTAAAAGAAGAGGATAACACCACAATTAGCATAATCTTGTGTCTTCTCTCCATGTGGGGCAAAATGAATTGTTGCTTAAAAGCTTAAAAGATTCAAGAATTATGTGGGTTTTATGAATGTGTAGACAGGATCTTTGTTGTCTGTGCAACTTCACAGGTTTTTAATTCACGCCCATTTCGATTTGGGAGCTTGTTGACTGGTGAGTGAAATGGCATGAGGGAAGTGTGTTGAGGCAAAAAAAAAAAAGGATTTAAGAGACAGAATTCGAAGTTTCGAAATAATACGATTTTGGAATTTGGAATTACCGAGAAAAGAACTTTTTTTTTTGGCTTATTCAAGAGTTTTCTATTTTGTTGAAGAAAGAGCTCTTTAACTAACTTGTTTTAATGCAAATACTACAAAGGGTATATATATATATATATATATATATATATATATATATATATATTATATATATATATATATATATATATTTGTTGATATTTGATTAAAAGGACATCATGATTACGTACTAAAAACTCTCCCATAATAACTAATAAGGAGTGTGGTGGTTTGATGGTAGACACTTTAATGAATTAATTGATGCGGTTGTTGGGTGAAAATGAAAACTCACCCTGGTATATCTTCAATCATATCTTCAAATGCAATCATCCCCTTCCACCATAATTATGTTTCTCAAAATAGCTATGTCAAGGAATGAAAATAAGGGAGTGTTTGTGATTGTTTATTTTAAGGTTAAGGTCCTATTTGACAAAACAAAAATAAGCTGACGAATATATATTTCTCAACCAAAGATCAAGGATTTTATCAAAAAAATTGGCTAGTAGTATTTCAATTTGATAGACAATTGTCTTTTAGCTAAAAGTTAAGTGAAGGGTTCAACTCTTATTTTGAATAAAAAAATATAAAAATTTATTTTAGTTAAGGCTTGGTAATACTAGCTTATCATAACTTATAAGCTAAAAACTAGTTTTTTAGCTAGCACACACCAAACTGAGTCTAAATGTCTAAATGTTTGTTAGTTTATTTTGATTCAATTTATTGTAGTAAGAAATTATTTTAAGTGGTCAAATGATATAAGAAAAAAATTGTTTATTGACTTATTAATAATGATCAAATGACATTAAACATGACGTTAAGGGTTTAAGTCTTATAGCGACAACAAATGTGTATATAAGAATGAAATTAAATAAAATATGAGTTGGACGTTTTAGTATATATATATATATATATATATATATATATATATATATATATATATATATATATATATATATATATAGAATAATGGAAAGGATCAAATGAGAACACCTAAAAGGTTGAGAACGCGAGAATAATTCTGGACCAATCAGTATATAAGGGCATATTAGTAATTGTTTATTTTAATTAAATTATATAAAATTAAAAACCACTTTCCTTAAATTTAGGGATTACAACAGTTTCCAAATATATATATATTTATTAATAAAATATTTAAAAAAAATTATCGTTTTTTTTTAATTTAAAAAATCTTTTTTTTTCTTATGCCATATGCTTCATACGAATTCATTCATTAATGAATGAAAAATATTTTTTTATTACTTTTAGGTTTTTGTTTTTTAACTACACTTTATTTAGATTAAAAAAAATACTTTTATGTTAAATTCATTAATGATAGAAATGTACATAAAAATAAACTTTTAAATAATTTTTTAGAATTTTATTTGATCGGGTTATGTTAATCATTAATAATTATAACAACAAATACTTTAATTAATAACACACAATAGGATAGATAAAAAAACTCAAAACAATTATAATCACAAATAAAGAAAGCACAATACAAAGGTAAAAAAGTTGAATATATGTTTAATCATAAATGAATAAAGGACAATGTCAAGTTAAAAAAATCAGTTGAAATCACTAAAGAATGAAACAGATAAAAAAAATATCTAATACATTTATAATCATAAAAAACGATGTTGCGCTCATGGTTGTTAATCTTGATGCGACCATCACACCCAAAAACAAATGCACTTGTGATCACTGTTATTCTTAAATTTACACCTGTAAAAAACAAAGGGCATACAATTAGAAATATTTGAGTAATTTTCATGTATGATTATAGCTATATTCGTTTATTATTATTCCAGAAAACAATTCAGAAACTATAATAATGTATATATGCATCTTCATTTATTCACAAACGGTTGTATATATGGTTATAGTTATATTCATGTATGATTATAGCTATATTCATGTATGATTATTCCAAAAAAGGACGAAAAAAACAAAGGGCAAACAATTAGAAATATTTGAGTAATTTTGTTTGCATCAATACAGAGAAATTTGAATGTTCTATTGGTTTTGCTTGTCATTGAGGGTGTAGCAAAAGGTTAGCTTTGATTTTCTTTCATTGAATATTGTCAGAAAAAGAAAATCAAAGAAAAGATTGAGAAAGAACAGAGCATGCATTCAAGTTCCAGTTTTCTGAATTCGGGTATTTCATCGAGGACCTTATGTGCACAACTTATCCTTATATGTTTACAAAATTAATTACTCCATACAACAAACTAAACAACAGGTCTCACGAATTATTTTGAAGCTTTGGTGCATAGGTTCAAATTAGCATAACATATGGCGTTCGAATTGATTTTGCAAGAAAAAAAAGAATGCACAAACAGATTCCATGTACAGATTCGAACAGTATATAGCATTGTAAGGCTCGAATCAATAGATTAGGTGGATTTTGAACAACATTTGCAAGGAAAAAAGCTTAATGTTACCTGATTCGGAGTACGTCGTCGCTACCATGCTGCTCCAGAGTGGAGGATCGAAGTCTGGTAGTGTGTCGTTGCTTGCTACCGCCGGTGAGTAGCAGTCGAGTTCACGAGATTGCCAATAAGGTTAAGAAAAAGTGTTGTCGGCTGTAAGTCTCACTCTGTATGCGATGACGATGATGAAGAACGAAAGTCGCCGCTGGAGTCTGCCACTGTCCGCTGCCTTGCGCTGGTGAGTAGATGATGGTGTCCGCCGGTGAGTAGAAGTCGTCAAGCCGATGAGATCGTCGACGATGGAAGTGATGATGCGTATAAAGGGGAAATGGGGAGTGAATGTCGGTTGTGCTTGAAATTGGATACGATGATACTCTGATAGATAGAAGCATACATTCTTAGGGTTAGCTTAAAGTCGATGCATCTTATGAAACCCTAGAGAGAGAGAGAGAGAGAGAGAGAGAGAGAGAGAGAGAATAAGAAAGGTAAGAGGCGAGAGGGTGAGAAATAATAGGAAATAGGTAAAGTTGCAATTCCTATTATACCCTTCTGACCATTTAAAAGTTACACTTAAATGCCAGTAGTTTTAGAGTTTGTCATAAATCGCCCGTTTAATAGTAACCATAGATCTTAGTATTTAGATAGTCCAGATCTGTTCTTGCGTTCTCAACATTTTAGGTGTTCTCATTTGATCCTACTCCTATATATATATATATATATATATATATATATATATATATATATATATATATATAGACAAAATTGCAAAAATGGTCCCTGTGGTATGCAAATTTTTAGGGTTTTACTCCAAACCACGACTTTTTTGGATTGGTGGTCCTTTTGAGTTAGTTTCTTTGCGTTTTTAGTCCCTCAGTAAACTGAAAATACTATTATGCCCTTCTGATATATTTTTTATGCTTTTTCTATTTAATTTAAATGAAAAATAAAATAATTACCTAATTTGGAGCCCACCTCTCTCTCTCTCTCTCTCTCTCTCTCTCTCTCTCTTTCTCTCTCTCTCTCCTGTGTAAACCCACCGCCGACCCAAACCTCGTTCATATGCCTCTCTCTCTCTATATCTCTCTCTGGCAGAGTTTGTACCTTTAAGTAATCTGTTGCTGTTCTTGTCAGTATAATTGTTCAATTTTATCTTTAAATTGTTTTCTGAAGAGGGATTAGGAGTCAAAACGGGGGAGAATGTGGGGATTTGGGGGCAGATTCTACTGGGGGAAGACAAAAGAAGAAGAAAGAAGAAGATGACCAGACGAAGGTGGTGGTTGGAATGCAGTGACGAGTTTGGTACTCCGATTGCTAATTTGTATGTGTTCTCCAACCTTAATTAGATTCTTCTATATCATAATCTTCATCTGGTGTTATTCCCAATTCCCGATTTTAGTTTGGTACTCCGATTGTTACATAATTAATATCAGATCGATGGTCCTGTATCCCTGGAACGTTGTTTCCTTGATCAAATTCATGGTTCAACCTTCAAAGTATCTAGGTGGTGGCTGGACTGCATTGAAGAAGGTGGTGGTTGGACTGCAATGATGAGCGGCGGCGGTATCCGGCGAGTTATGAGTTGGTGATGAGAGGAGGGGTCGGGAAGGATGTTTCCGGCAACAGCAATGGTAATGGGTGGATGTGGTTTGCGTTGGCAGCCCAAGGGAACACGATGGTGGATGCTGGTGGTGACTTCGGGTGGTTCTCGGTGGCAGTGGGTGATCAAGGGTGGCAGTTCTTGGCCACTCTTGGTTCCATCTTCGGTTCTTGACAGAATTCAACGAGAGGAAAGGGGGGGGGGGGAAGTGAGGTGGTGGTGGTTTTTGGTCCAATAATGGTGAGGGAAAGGTGGTTTGTGGCAGCAACGACTTAGCTCAAGAACAAACACCCATTTCAGTCTCTTTCACTCTTCCAGCGTACCTCCAATCTGGTTCAGAGAGAAAGAATTTCATGCACCTCTTCAATGGGGAAGGTTGACTTTTACAAAGTCCAAGAGAGAGAGAGAGAGAGAGAGAGAGGTGGGTCCTCTATTATTTTTTTTATTGTTAAAATAAATAAATAAATATTAAATTTTAAGAAAAAATGAAAAATAAATACCCCAAGGGTATTATAGTCATTTCAATTTTCGGAGGAACTATTTTTACATACAAACCACTCCAAAAGGACCATAAATCTAAAAAACTCGGAGTTTGGACTAAAACCCCAAAAATTTGCATACCACAGGGACCATTTTTGCAATTTTGTCATATATATATATATATATATATATATATATATATATATATATAATATATATATATATATAATATATATATATATATATTACTAGGGAAATCAGTTTACCCATTTACCCTTTTTTGCATCCAAACAATAAATCCTATGTATAATTACGATTTGTCGTTCCTCTTTTTTATTTCTTTAGCATGAGCAGTGTACCACCCATCTTAATTTTCATGGTAGCTTCTTCTACTTTGAATCTTTAATTTTAGCTTACTAAATGTGATAAGTACATATTTTGTCTGATTATCAAACTATTATGAAGGTCCATATATTAAAACTTTTATTACAATATGAAGTTTGTCGATAACGAACTATTCTGCTTAATTGTTAGTGGGTATATTAATAGATTTAGGAATGTTTGATACATAGCTTTTAAGAGTTTCTACCATTTAGTTTTTAATAAAAAAAATCAAATAAATAAAAAAAAAGTTCGGTAGTAAGTGCTTCCAACTTTTATTTTAAACAAAAACTTGTAATTCAAAAGTTAATTTAAGTAGCGGTTAACAAAAAAAATTCTACATATTATAACAAATTTATAAGATTATCTAAAGGATCGAAATAAACAAAATGTATCAAACAATAAAAATAAAGAACATAACTAATAAAAAACCAATTTCGATTAAGAATATCTCACAAATAGAGAATGCTTAAAACGGTATTCTACATAATAATCTAGTGTAACTTATATACTACATTGATAACTATTCTAGAATCAAATCCCTACATATCACAGATTAAAATACAAAGATAACTCCCATATATAAGAGATATATAGTATACAAAGATAATCATATCACTAAGATACTAGATCTCTAACTTAAAGCAAAAGAAACATATCACACTGCATTAGGTGGAGCGATCAATTTTGTTGCGAATTCCATCCATTTTCTTCTTTTTTATCAACTTTATCATTGAATTACTTTAGGGCTTTCTTGTGCTCAGATAAACTTCCTTCAGCAGATGCAACATTAGGAACCACTTTAGAGGAATCATGTTGATAGATGATTCTATTCTTGGCTGCTATGTCGTGTTCAGCAACAAAGGCTATGGCCTCTTCAACAGATAGATCCCATTCACCAATAACATCAGAGAGCTTAATGGGTTTTCTTTGTTTGGGAGCAGAGGAACTTGAGAGCTTAATGGGTTTTATTAGATGCTGATGAAGATGAGGATGATTGAAACCGAATATGTTTGTTTAGACGAGGTGGAGACTAAATAGTGGCAACAGCAGTAGAGGGATCAGCATGTCTTATGATAGGTTTCCTGATAGTAATGGATAGAGATGGAGAGGAAGGCCTGATGAAAATTCACTATCTAAGACCTCAACATCTAAGTCAACATCCATAGCATCCTCATCATCACCATCTTTTTCTTCCTCGAATTCTGAAACAACTTCATCAGTGTCCTCATCAAAAGGATATAAGGTACCAGGAAGACCCAAAGGTGAATAAACTCGTTGATCTACGAGATATGGGTTAAATAACCACTTAGCCATCCACTAAGTGATGGGAGGATCATTGGGTGTTGGAGTTACATTAATAAGCTTAGAGGACATAGTAGACTTCGCAATGGAATCATCAATGTTTCCTTCATAACCGGAGTTGATGTGAACAAGGACCAGAGAGAACCAACAAGGATAAACATCAAAGGAAGGTATTTTCTTTCTAGAGATAGAGCTTACAAGATAATCGCAGATCGTCTGAGCAAAATCTAGATGTTTGTACTTAACCATGGTAGAGAATCCTCATCTCAAACAGATTCAACTAATCACGGCTACAAGTGTTGTGCCCTAGGCACTTTTCAATAACTCCGGTAAGGAATTTTCATCCAGCTGAGAAACATTGACGAGGGATAAAACCAATGTGTTTACCTTGCTTTGATGGATCATATCCCCAATTTGTAATAACTTGCTTGAATTGTTTCTTAGAAGGAAGATTTGAGTACTAAATCAAGTTCGGAAGACAAAGAGCATCTCGAAAAATTGGAACAGTGAGATATATGGCATGATTACCATTTCCAATAATTCCTTGAATGGAGTCGGATTGTTCATCATATGTGCATGTGTAATAAAACTCATAGATGTGCTTTGGGAAGAACGAATCAGTAGTAGTAGCAAGAACATATCTCAAAGGATGACCTTTAAGAACTCAACGAAGACTTCCAATCCTTGTTTTTATGCTTAGGTGGAATAGCATCAAAGAATGCAATGTTAGTGGAATTGATCACAATGGGAGTTATTGGAGTATTGTGAGCTTTGAGAGAACCTTCAGTTAAAACATAGACGAAGAGATGAGAAGACATTATTTACAGGTTTTAGCATTCTTTGAAGGGTTTTTTTGAGAGAGAATTTCGAAAGATAACAATCGTAAACTCGTGAATGTGAATTTGATCTTCCTTTTATAGGATTCAGAATGATTTAGAAAATCCAATGATGTAATTAGCAATCATTTTGTTAGAAAGATTCATCATAAATATGGAATCCCCAAAACTGACTCTTACATTCTCATCCAACAGTTATCGTTAGACAAACGTCTCTGAGAATATGTTGGTGATGTAATACATAATCAGTTAGAACAAATATTGCACAACGAAATAAGGTGGGATGTTTAAATGTCTCACTCGATGTATGGTGTAATACATGAGCTTTTCGACATATGGTGATTTGATGCTCACTCACTGTATGTTTTGATACAGACGTTTCTCAACATCAACATTTAGAATGTTTTACTCGCCATGAGTGTCATATTAAGATCATTAACATATGGGTAAAGATATTTCATAAACTGTTAGTTTGACAGCCAATCATTAATATCAAGGAAGAGGATTATAATAGCTTGGAGTATATGATCCATCATAAATTCAATTAGGTACATTCGGAAGGTTTGATAAATGTCATACCTCAAAATATGGTGATAATATATGAGGTCAAGGACATAAGTTACCCTTTGTCTAAAAAGGACCAAACAAGTATCTCTTTCACTGTAGACATTGCTATCAGGGCAAGCCACAGGGTAAGGCATAATGATTCAATAGAATACTAGACTTGATACATACGACAACATATTCCCAGGGATAGGGTCTGGAATAACAATAAAGTTTTAAAGACACACCCAAGGCCTTATAATAGATTTTTTTATAAGGACTAGGCAGTTTCATCCTCAAAGATACACAATGATTAAGCTAATAACATGAGTGGGTGACTCAATATCATCTCAACAGTTGGTGTCACTGATAAGATACTTAGAGAGATTTAGTCACATATAATAGCATGCTTCTGGGACAGAAATTGTCAAAAGTTTCATGTTAGAACAAAAGTTCTCTGTCAATTCTTTTAGACTTGGTACAAGACAAAGCAAAAAGAATAGAAACAAATAAAAAGAATAAAAATAATTAGTCTAAAAAGGAAATAGTCAAGAAGAGAATGTTGCAGCTTTTTCAGAAGGTTCATTGACACCTAGATTTTGTGAATCTTGAAATGAAAGCTCATTAAAGGATTGCCATTAATCAAAACACCTACCCTCAAAAACCTGTCTATAAAAGAGTCATGTTAGAAATATTTTCATACAACAAAATCATATCTCATTTCTACATAAAATGGGGAAGAAATGCTCCTTTTCATTGAAGAAAATATCCTCCAAATGGATTTCAAGCTTCAAGTTCATTTTCACGAAAGGAAACCCAGGAGAAATCAATCTTTATAACCAACAAGCTAAGAGTTTTTAATCTTAATTTGTAACCTTCGAGTTATGAAAGTCAACAGAAAGATACTTGAAGGGACAAAAGATTATGAACCAAGGGACAAGAGATAAGTATCATTATCTTAATAATGAGATCTTGAATCTCTAATGGAATATAGGAGTGACGAAGAGAACTTCTATTAAAATTAGTCGTGTCACTCACTTTATCTCTACAAGTCCTTCAACAACAGATGAAGGGTTCTGAAGTGGTGAGGAGAACATCTTGAACATCTATATTTGTACCAGTTCTTCTTTATCTTGTGTGTGCAGTAAGATGCTCAGTTTCAAAGTTGCCAAACATCACCCTTAAACTGAAAATTGTAGCTGTTGCATTGAAGATGTAGAGAGGCAGTTTGGTCATTAATTGGGTAAAATCCTGAATCATGTACTTGAGAGAAAAAATACATGAGGGCTCAACCATTAGAAGATGTTAAGAAACAATGTATATGATGGGTTTTGAGCATAACAAACAAAAACCTATGTGTGCATGCAACCCTAATTGAAGATCTATGTTTTTGCTAATTAAACATAAAACATTTGAACAACAATTGGGAAACCCTAAATCTACTATTATATTTTCGAAATCACTACTAGGGTTAAGAAAAACATACCTTAATTGTTATATAGCAATAACAATGAAATCCTAGTCTTCTTGAAACCTTGAGAGCAAGTGTCACAAGTGTCACGCCGCTAGTGGTTCACACCCAATACAAACAAGAGGATGAGAGAGGAGAGAGGAGATGAGTGTTAGGAA